ACTCTGTGAGAAGACTGACCTCAATGTAAACCATGAGACGAGTAGACATCCGTTATTAACCCAACACTTTTTTTTTTCTTCTTTTTATTTTTTTTGGACGATGGTAAAGAGGATTTTCCTCAAAGTTTCTCTTTCTCTGCGTCTTAACATACTTAATTTTGATGTTCCACTTCAACTTTGTATCTCCAAAAGGTTGTGACATTGGAACAGATGCTGGTCAAACAGTATTTGCAGATAATTATTATTTTTAAAAAAAGGTTCAAACCCTTTGGAGCAGCAGATGATTGAATCACAGGACTCATCTGCTCCTCCATCTTGGTTAAAGCAACTGCAGTTATTATTAGCAGTACTGTATGCTTCAGGTCTTTGTATTTAATGATTTTTGCTGTGTTCTGTCATATCATTCACACCTGGGCAAAACGGCAGCTGGTCTCAGAACAATGAACATTAAAGAACACACCATAAAATAATGGATGCTCCATGTTTTATGATATTTCAGGTGTTTTGAAAGTTGAATTGAATGCACCTTGAGTGATATTTGGCTGTATTTTTGCCCAAATATTCTTTATTAACCCTTTTCTGTCTCACGGGTCTATGTCTGTAGTCCTACCAGCTCAGCCAGCCTTTCAAACTGCCTCACACTGTAGTCAGAGAAACAAATACTCACATAGCAACATTGAAATGTCTTTGTATGATATATACTAAAACTATGTTGGTGGGTTTGTTTTTATTTTTTCAGTTTTTGAAATAAATATTTCAACTCATTAATACAGACCAAAGTGTGACTGGGTTTTATTGTTCTTCTATGAAGCAGCTGCATGAAATGTGACTAGTGAAGTGGTAGGCAGACTGCTGTTTTCTTCTACATAGTCTTTAAAAACTGGATTTTGATTGGTTAAACTGCTTCAGTCATTGTTCAGTTAATACTTAAACTTGAGAAAATCTAAGAAAATCAATTTTGCAAAGTTGCATTTCAGCTTTTCTTTGGCAGGGGAGTAGATAATGTGTTGAGTGATGTCTTTCGTGACAGTATTTTCAGTCCGAACTGTTGGGCGATTGTGCAAGAAAGTGGAAGATAAGTGAGGTGTTTGTGTTGGCTTTTACAGGAGCAATGGCCTCACATCTATTTCAGGGTGCAGCTAAAATCATAATGCACCTAATTGATTTTCTTTTTTTTGAAGGTAAATTATTTTCCAGTAAAAGCATCATTGACTCTTGCAATTTAAAGTGCTTTGTTGGCCTCACATTGAAATTGGAGGCAAATGAACTTGTGGAAAGTTTGCTTCTCCTGTACTGAAAACAAACACACAAACTTTTGTTAGAGGTATTGCAAGACTTAAATGGAGTAAATGAATTGCCATAATCTAAAAGTTCAACAATATCTTATTCCTTTGTAATTACAATGCAGCAGACTAACACAGAGACAGTTACACAGGCAAACAGAAGACGCTTGTGATGGCAGAAAGTTAATATCACTTTATAAATGAATGTTTCTAGTTTATTGACTGTGTTCTGTAACCTTTATGTCTCCACTAAGGAATATCCAGATTTTTAATTAAGCTTCAGATTTAGAGACCTGCACAGTAAAGAACATTTGTTTTGAATATTTTTGTTGGATGAGCAATTTAGGTTGCTTCAAATCGGACAGGTGTTCTTCTATGACAGCCACACCTGGTACACAAACACTGACCAGGTGTGCCTTGTTAACTGTCAGCGAGAACCATAAATCTGCAGGACTCACATCCAAAACAACAGTAATTTTTTTGTGGTTTGAGTAACAACAGGCAGAGAAGCAGGTAGCTGATTACGGTGACATTTGAGCATCTGCTCTAGTGCACTGCTTCCCAAGTGAATGCAAGTAAAGGTACTTAACTCCAAGGCAGAACAGAGAACAAGCTGTATTCTGGGTCACAACACAGAGGATGTTTTCATGAAATTTCCTTGAACCAATAAGAATGATGAGTGTCCAATCTTAAGAAGTTCACCCACACACAAAGGAGGCGTTATCAGCCAGAACAAGTTAAATCATTCATGTGGGTGTACCATAATTTGTAGTGGCCTACAGCATGACTCTTTAAAAAAGTTAACATAATAAAAAAAAATCCAGTATATACTGTTTGTACTTCTTCAATCTTCAGTCCATAAACACAGATATTTATTTTTTCCTTTACCACCAAACAGCTAATCAAACTGAAATTAAAACTTGAGGTTACCTTTCCATGTAACTTCTGTTTTCTAATAACATGAAAACTTTATTGCAACTTTATTAGACTTGTTCCGAGTGTTTTGGGATACATTTAATAACTTGGCTTATCTACTCCTATTTTCCTAACTTTGTTAGCTTTAGCTTTCTGGCTGGCAGTATGACTGATCTCACACACGCACATGCACGCACACACACACTGAACCAGTCATGAAAGAGTACAAATAAATTAGGGCTGCACCCAATGATTATTTTCATTATCATTTGATTGTTCTATAAAACATTGCGAAATTGTAAAAAAATGAACACAATAATTTCCCAAGACTAAGGTGATGTCAGACAGTTTTTTGTATTTGGTTAACAGCCCAAAACCCAAAGATATTACCACAATATAAAAGTGAAAATTCCTCATAGTAAATAAACTGGATTAAACTGGACTAATCATTATTCTTATCAGAATATTCGCTAAATGCTCCTTTTTGGTCAACCAATCAATAAATGACATTGATTTATTTGTCTCAATTGATTTATTCTGATATTAATGTTGTTGCTATTTTGAATTGCCTATGTGTATGAAATGTGCTATATAAATAAAACTGCCTTGCTTTATTGTGTCAATTTTGAATTAAAGTAGGCTTAAGTTGTAAAAGTTCACTTTCACTAACAAGTCATAATTTTTTCCCTTATTAACTGTCAGCATGTGACAGCTACGGTTTGTGGAAACAGCTGTGAGAAGGTGTGCCCATTCCATTTTAAAAGTGGCAGGTGCCCCCTAATTTTTTTCAGACTGGAGGGCTATAGTAGCCAAACAGCTATTTTTTTATTTTTGTTTTTTGATTTGCTGTACCTGTTTTAATTGATACTACTCATAAGGTTCTTGTCTGTGAGGTTATAATCTCATCTAAGTCGGACCGGTCCATACAGACACCCCTCTGTGTGCTGTTTGGTTCCTTCCAGCTGGAGAGCGCAGCGCAAGCGCACAACTGTTTGTGTGTGAGGTGCGTGAAGATATTCTGATCCCCGAGTTCACGCAATGATAACTGTGAAATCACAATATATTTGTAAACTGTTCAGAATGTCAGCATTTGCATATTTAAAGGGCTTTTAGTAGTTATCCAACAAGTGGTAGCCATTATGTTAGCTTGTTGTCCTTTGCTGTAATTAGTAAGTAGCTTTAACTTAACGTTACTGTTTTTGTCAAACAAAATTAACACTACTGCACTGAATCGTCCTACAAAACATGAGATGGGCGTAATATTTTTATGAAGAGTCAGGACTTAAATGGTGTAAGTAAATACTGTAGCTACATTTTAAGAACAGGAAGCCCCTTTACTTACCTTAAATAATTAACACTGTTGGCTAGCTAACCTACCATTAGCCCGCTAGCAGAAAGCCTTTTCACTCACATTTGCTAGTTCAATATTCCTAATAAATGCAATGCTGGTCAGTAAATAACGTGTTACAAATTCATATGTAATTTAATTATAGTGTACACAGGGAGCAGTTTGATGATAAACAATAGTTAAAGCAGACGATTTCCTGGTTTGGTGTGAACATGAACAGATTTACAGCCAGAGGTAGATTTATAAGATAAGTTGATTTCTGAATGTCAACGTTTCATTTTAATAGGAACACGTGGGTAGTAGAACAGAGACTGCAGGAGACTCAGGTGGAGCCACAGGATCTCAGGTAAGATCTTCACTGTGGCTTTCTGATAATATCCAACGTTATTTACTGTAATTATTGTACAGTAAAAGTACAGATGATGAGTTTGACTCTGTGATCCCCAAAGACAGATTGGCAAATGACAGTTACATTAGTTATATCCATAAATCTTTGTTGCTTTTCAGACTCTAATCTAAGCATTTACTGTATATGTAAGCCCATTGACTAATTTAAAATCTTGTTTAGAGTGTGCTGTTGTATTCACATGAAGACAATAGACTGATATAGTAGGAGCTTTCAGGTTTTGTGTCTTATGATCATATCAGTAATAGATTTACCTGTATAAATTACAGAACAAATAAATCGACTTCTGTTGCAAATAAATCAGTATGAACAATATAAACATTTTCTGACAATGGAAATGTGAAACTATGCCCTCTCAAAACGTTTGAATGCATGAGGCCCCTTTGTGAGAGTATGTTAAAAATAGTCTTTACTGTTTGTTCCTGTATTGCTGTCTGACTCATATTACACTAACCTTAGCTAACACCAAACTTTATCGACCAACAGATTTCTGTGGAGTCAGATAGTTCCCTACTTCTCTGTCAGTTTCTTGGTGTCACTTCATTGAGCAGTGAAAGGTTCACCTTTAGTCTGATTTAAATATGCTACAGCATGCCTTAGTGCCAAGTTTTGCTCCATGCTGCTGTTCTATCACATGGGTAATGTGGTGGGTGGTGCCTGTAAGAAAGACAGGCTATGCTATTTATAGTTTCTGCAGTCCTGAGCTGTACTGGCTTACAGCAGGTCTCCTGGCAGCAGCAGTAGTCTCTCTGTTTGTCTCCGCTCTGCTCTCCAACACAAGCAGGATCCAAAAGAGACCGACCAGTCTCACATACCCTCAGCTGGCAGTTTATTAGGAACACCCAGCTAAAATTAGCACAGTGTAATGCAGCAGTCCTTCAATAAATCCTCTGTTCATTAAGGTGATAGTGTTCAGTTTGTGTTGAAACGGTGTGAGTCAACTGTATGATCATTTTGGAGGCTGTAGTTTGTGGTTCTGTTTAACTGAGAGGCACACCTCTCTCTAATGTTGATAGGAACAGTAGCTTTGCTAACTCAAACATTATTTTTATCAGTCAGCTTCCAGCCTAGATTCCAGGCTTTGCCAAAGGGGTTTCTGCTGATAAAATATGATTTCACTGCATATCAAGTTATTTCTGTCACATATTTCCTTAAACGATGTCAAAACATCCAACAGTGCTGTGCAACTCTCAAGAAAGACTAGAAAGTAAACATTGCTTTAAATGCACCAGAGGACAGACAGATGTTATACAGTCATCCTAAAAACAGGTAATATGATCATTTGTTAGCATGCACTAGGATCAGGTACCATTTAAAACATTTAATACAGGAGTACAGAATGATACTGCAGTATTGAATTAAAATGGTCAAGTTTAAAGCAGACACACAAGAAGAGACAATGACTCATAAATCAGATATTCTATTTCAGTATAAACAGCCACAGTGTATCATGAACTTTTGTACCAAAATATTTTGCCGTGGTCCCCTCCTGACCCCCCAGACTCTTTCACAACAACATAACAGCAACGTGATCATAAAACACCAGAGCAGGCCTGGTATCTCAGAATCCATAATTAACCCTTTATCTCACATAAGTTCCAACTTTCATTCTCCTGACCTTTGGTTCTCTAAGAACATTGTTGTTCTAACCTGCAGTGTGATGAGTTCCTTTCCCACTCAGAATCTTTCTGTATTTTATTATAGTGTCAGCAAACAAAGACGTAGGCTATATGTTTCTTATCTATAAAACATTATTTTTTACTGGATATTAGCTACAAGGTGTGCTTGGACTTACAGTTGAGCGGTCAAGGGGTGAATCTGAGCTGGATTCAGGTCCTTTGGTTTTATTCATCTTCTCACACATTGCAGTACTGAGCAGACATGATGTTGGTCCCTACAGAAGCAGCTGAATTCTATCAGCTATCGAGGATTTCACCAATACAGAATTACAGTTAAATTAGACTAGATTTATTTGGCTTTTATTCATTAGGTAAGGTACAGATGAGGCCCAGAGTGCTGATGTGTTTGTGAGACAAAAGCAAAACAGGTGTCTTACCACATTCTTACAAGGCCAGAAAAATAACAAACTGCCTCATTTTAAGGGATAAACAAAAACCTATTTAAAAGGGGTCAAATTGTCCTCTATACTTGCAGGGGATGTTTATTAGGGATTACAGTCCTTACTTGAACAGAGATAAGACATCTGTTATTATCATCTTTTGTAAACATTTTTATGACATAAAAAATACCACAGTTCCTTAAATTACATTAACACCAAAAGCTATGAATATGCAAATATTTTTAATTTCAAAAATTGAACTACTGAAAACAAGATCTCAATTTGTGTATGTTCAAAAATGTTTTTATGCACGAGTCTTTGGGTTTCTGTGTTGCATTCTGCAATTTACATATTGGATCCTGACTGACTTCCAAACTCGCCATGTCACTATATCATGCTCGTAAGTCCTCTTGTTAACACTGAGATTGAGGTGGAGCACAGACAGAAGCTAAGTATTAAAAGATCCTTCCTGTGTCAGGCTCTGAATATGTGAAAATTCTCTACTTTGTGTGGATTAAGTCAAAAAATGTGGGCCACATTCCCACAAACACAGAAAATACATCAATAGAAGCAGTTTCAGAGACTATAGATGTTCTTATTTGTGAAAACAATGTGATAAAAAACAGCGTTTAACATCCAGTACTAACAAAAATGCATGGCATGTCATGGTGCGTTAACTGTGGCCCAGATTCAGCAGTGATTAGCACTGTGGCCCAAATTCGACAGTAAATAGCGTGAATGCTCATGCTACCAAGATAAACAAAGAGTCTTTTTTCCATGGGCATCCACATGCCGATCGTCCCCCGTACATGATTGGTCAATGCAGTGCCTTTGCTGGATGATCTCACCGTCTGGTGTTAGTTGAACCAGATCCAACTTTTTTACCGCACGAGGCTGTGTCATTTTACCAGGGTCCCCTGCAGTACTGGTGCCAGCTGTAGTGAACACAAGCCACTATAGTCATTAATGGAGAGGGCTGCATTTTTTCACACCTTTGAAACTCTGTCTGAACACGGCCTTAGTGTTTATATGTTTATAGAAGGGTTCATCGGAATGTGAGCATCAGCTTTCTGAACAGCAAAGAGTAATCACTCATCACTGACAGCCTTTGAAGGTATTGTTTTGTGCTTGCCTTGCACATTGCACTCTAGCAAGGCAGAACTTGGCTGCATAATGAGGTGGGGGGGAAGCCTCGCCCTTCTCTGCTGAGGCCTGTGGGTACTTCTACCTGAGTAAACAAACAAGCAGGCAGCACTTTGCTTCCCTCAGGGGCCAATGATTCCCCACAAAAAGAAGGAAGAACCAAAGGCAGCTTTTAGATGCTGGTGCAGATGATCCCCTGTGGGGCGCCTCATGGCTTCCTATCGATCATAAATTTCTGGTACCACTTAGGTGTACAACAAAACCTTTTAGAAGTGAGATAGCACATTTTTATTTACTAAAAATACTGAAAAAGGTTAATAGGTACACCCATGAAGAGGTGGGTTGTTCTTTTGCTGAGTCAACAGGCTTCAAGGAGAACAATGAAGCATTTGTGTTGTCTGTGTGATGCAGCTGGAAGAGTAAATTAAAGAAATTAATCAGGGACAGAGGCACCATAAGATGGCTGGTGGCTGCCTTTAATGTTGTGTTTTTCTCTTCAGCAATACTTAAGTGTCAAGGTGGTTTTGTTTGTTTGCCTGTACATGATAGATGATTACTCAGTGTACCATAAGAGATGAGGGTGTTCCTAAACATCTGTATTTGTGAGGACCAAATGTTGCCACAAAAATAAAAACACAAGAAATCATTTAATAGCTTTGGGAAGTTCTCTTTTTCACTTCTTTGTCCACCACATAACTACCTATTTATGCTTCAGCTGTTGTACAGACAAAACAAACTAGATTTAATATGTTAATCACTGAGCTTTAAAAGTGGATTTTGTCACCTTTGGGCAGTGTCAGGCTGGCTGGTTTCATCTGTTTCCAGTATGCTTACTCTAGCTGCATATTTAGCCTACAGACGTCAGAGTCATGTCAGTCGTCTTATCTACAGGTGGGTGACAAATGAAATGGAAAACTAACAAAGTGTATTTGATGATGTGCACGTCGATCCAAAATCTCCTATAGGTGTTCAGCTGGGTTGAGATCTGGTGACTGTGAAGGTCACAGCATATGATCCACATTGTTTTCCATCTGTTCCGAATTAGATTTTAGATTGAGTTAAAAACTGAGGAGGAAAAAAAGATAACCATGACAAGTTAATTTATTTTGCAGACAGAAACTTGGTCTTCAGCTTTGCAAGAAAGTCACACTTTGGAAAGTGCAGTTTTTTGTTTGTGATTCTGGAACATTCTGTGGGTGTGTATGTGTGTGTGTGCACGTGCATGAGTGTGTGTGTGTCTACAATACAGAGGCAGAAACACAAGAACTAATGCAGTGTCTGGATGCAAGTCCTTGTTTGGCCTCGTGTGTGTGTGTATATAGTATGTTGCGGCCTGGTGGACTGTAGCTACAGTTGTCTCAACATGCAGACCTGATGGTGTGTTTTCATTAGACTGCCTCACAGGATAGTAATAACCTTTTTAACGATTAGGTCTTTGGATGACAAATAAACTACCTACAGACATAAACGTACAGGTTTGAACAGCTACAAATACCATGAATATCAGCAAAGTTGCCTTTATGTCCCGTGTGACCCAGACATGATCTTTCCATGCCATCACAACATACGGGAACAGCTGTGATATCTAGGTCACATAAGGTTACAAATCGCATTTTCTGTGGAGAAGTATGGAGATAAAATACTATCAAAAATGTTACAAATGTGTGTTTAAAGTTTTGTCTGTAACAAGCGATTTGTGTGTGTGTGTGTCATGAGGATCACAAATGCGTGCTGCGCAATCTGCACGTATAAAGCCATTTGTGTGTGTCATGCTATTCACAAATGCATGCTGTACAAACTGCACATAAAACACATTTTACAAATGCTTAAAATCGATTTTTCGTGTGCAGTTCTTTAGAAAGTACGTACACATTGTTACCTACGCATGCGTGGATCGTCTAACACACACGAATCACCTTCCGCGCACACACGGATTTTTGAGAGTGTTTTTCCGCACTCTCAAAAGGCCACGATCCACGAATGCACACTGCGTCTAAGGACACGTGGAAAACTCGGACATCTGCGTTTCCAAACCTGTTTCCCAAACAAAAGTATTTACACAATGCTATTCCAAATGGACATTTTTTATATGTATTAAATATATGCGCCACGGTTTGTCGTGCTATGCTAGATAAGTGGATAGTTCGATACGTAGATTCGAAGGAGAGACAACCTGTGACTGTTTTCATGCTAAACTTACTAGCGGTGTGTATCACTAAAACATTTCCCACTTAAAAACAACAACAAACTCCGTTGGGAGGAATATGTACATCACTCAAATATGTCCTACCGAAAAACTATAAACTCCGCAGGGCGAAACATTAACTTTAGCTTCATAACTTCTAAATTCTAAATATATAAAAATTTAGAACATGCACCACAAACTGCAGGCAACTGGAATGTTCTCTGTTAAAACAAGTTATGTATTAGATATTTTTGTTTATTTTATGTAATGTCCATTTGGAATAGCATTGTGTAAATACTTTTGTTTGGGAAACAGGTTTGGAAACTCAGATGTCCGAGTTTTCCACGTGTCCTTAAACGCACCGTGCATTCGTGGATCGTGGCCTTTTGAGAGTGCGGAAAAACACTCTCAAAAATCCGTGTGTGCGCGGAAGGTGATTTTGTGTGTGTTAGACGATCCACGCATGCGTAGGTAACAATGTGTACGTACTTTCTAAAGAACTGCACACGAAAAATCGATTTTAAGTATTTGTAAAATGTGTTTTATGTGCAGTTTGTACAGCATGCATTTGTGAACAGCATGACACACACACACAAATGGCTTTATACGTGCAGATTGCGCAGCACGCATTTGTGATCCTCATGACACACACACACAAATCGCTTGTTACAGACAAAACGTTAAACACGCATTTGTAACATTTTTGATAGTATTTTATCTCCATAAGCCAACATGATGCAAAAATACTGAAACAAAACAGCACAACAAAATGCAACACTATGCAACAGAAACTCTCAAAGCAACACTGTACGGTACATACATCTAACATGAACAGTAAAAAAATCATACCAGGGATGCTGCACATGCCTTTCAGCTTTTCACTTTAGTCAGGTGTATCTGACATCATTTTCCCCGGAGTTCAGCGTAAACAAATCCTTTTCAGGAGACCGTTTAGTTGCCCGAGGTGACGGAGCAGCTTTGATACCTTTGTTTTTGAAGATGTGAAACCAGAGTTTCTGCAACAGCACCAGATTTTTATCCTAAGTGGGGTTTAAAAGGTCTTTCACCAGCTTCACAGAGATTAGATGTGTTTGTCTGCACGTATGCTTCATAGCTTTACGGTGAATCAAACAGCTGATGAAATATTACGTTGGTGTGATGAGGCACATGGCAGGAGAGGAGGACATCTTGTGATGTTTGTTGTTGTATTTTATTCAGTTTTTAAGTGAATTCTCAGACTTTCTGTCTGATTTAGTGCTTAGTACAGATAAAATAATCATAGTAGGCGACTTTAATATTCATGTAGATGCCGACAATGACAGCCTCAACAATGCATTCTGTTCATTATTAGACTCAGTTGGCTTCTCTCAAACTGTAAATAAACCCACTCACTGTTTTAATCACACTCTTGATCTTGTTCTGACATATGGCATCGAAACTGAACACTTAATAGTTTTTCCCCATAACCCTCTTCTGTCTGACCATTTTCTAATAACTTTTGAATTTCCATTAATGGATTATACTCTATGTGGGAAACAATTCCACTACAGCAGATGTCCATCTGGCAATGCTGTTACCAAGTTTAAGGAAATAATTCAATCTTTATCTACTTCAGTGCCGTTTGCCAACACAGTGGAAGGAGGCCACCTTAACTTTACTCCCACACAAATCGATAATCTTGTTGATAGTACTGCAGCCTTCAGCCAAGACAGCCCAACAACATCCGGAGACTTAAGGTACTCAGGGCGGATCTCATCCACCCCCGGTGCCTTGCCACCGAGAAGCTTCTTGACTACCTCAGTGACTTCAGCTTGGGTGATGGACGAGTCCACCTCTGAGCCCTCAGCCTCTGCTTCCTCATCGGAAGACATGGCGAATCGATTTTAAGCATTTGTAAAATGTGTTTTATGTGCAGTTTGTACAGCATGCATTTGTGAATAGCATGACACACACACACACACACAAATCGCTTGTTACAAACAAAACGTTAAACACGCATTTATAACATTTTTGATAGTATTTTATCTTCACAGAGAAGGGGTAGTCCCATTGGCAGTTGTATCCGGCTTTACCCATTTTGCACATCAAAATAAATCATTACAGATGTATAGTGTTCCAGAGTCAACCCCCTGCCCTACAGAGGCACAGATGTAAACATGGACATCAGCGGTCGGTCAGGTCAATCAAAGACAGAGGAGGGGTGGGCATGGCAGACCCAGACAGTGCATGACACCAACTCCTCCACTGCTCTGCTTTTGGAAACACAGAGAGAGAGAGGGACAGGGTTGCTAGGAGACCCGGCTCAATGCAAACACGGCACCATCTGCTGCAGTGAGATTTGGAGAGGGTTAGCCAAGTTGGACAGAGAGAGACTGAGAGGTAGAGAGAGAAATTAGCTCAGTAGGATCACTGGAAACGACACTAAAGGGACAGGCATAGGAGGGCAGGGGACAGAGGGAGGACAGAAGGGATGAAGGACAATAGTGGAAGATGAAAAGAGAGCAAAGAAAAGCAAGATATGAGAGTGGATGGAGGAGTGAGAATGAGGAGGAGAGGTTAAAACAGGAAGGGAGGGGAGGTAAGAGGAGGAAAGTATGCATGATGAGGAGTTTGATTTATGTATGACTAACAGGTGTGACTCTTATAGCACCCACTCATAACCCTCCTCCATACACACAGTAACTTAATGTTCACACCCGCACATCTACAAATCTGTTATCACAGCATCATCCTCACAACCTTTTCTCTGTTAGAGTGAGATGTGATGAACACTGACGAAGGCGTGACCAAGCTGCTGCTGTTGTTTGTTTTTTTTTCACAGTCCCCCTATAGTAACAGATGATGCACTTGTTACCATGGGGACAGTAAAATGTCACCATCAGAAATCACACTGCAGTCGCAGGCAGTAGGTTGTGTGCCCACATTCTGTGATGACGCCTGGTCAATTCACACAAACATCCACCTCGTCTAGTGTGAATGACTCATTTCTCTTACTCTTATTATTGTTGTGTTGTAATTGGGCTGTGTTGTTAATGTGCAGAAGCTGTACTTGTAACCATCATCTACAAAAAAAAACATTACCTGAGGGTCACAGGCATGATTTGTTCTCTTTGAAAATCTGTTTCTTGTGAGTCCCCCCAATTTGAAGCTACCTAATTTCTTTTCAGCCTAGAAGATCTACTGGTCCAGCTCTTTGCTCCTCCCATCATGCCCTGTTTCCTAGTGACAACGTAAACTACAGATACCTGTTACTGACAAACTGCAAAATGCAGCCTTCAGGCCAAAGCTAGTATTAGCTGACAAACAAGTAAATTTGGCAGTCCAGTAGAACGCTTAGGTTACTACTTATGTGACACAAACCACTAATGTTGTACAAAGCTTGAATTACTCCCAAATTAAAGTAATATTAATTCCATACGACGGTAAAATCATGACCATTCTAGGTCAGTAGTGTTACCAAAACAAACAAATTAGCTTTAGATGCTAACACATCCAGAAGGAAGAACACATCTGATTCAAATTTGAGTCCTTTGCCTGCTTTTAACATTCTCCATTTCAAAAAGCCAAACTGAAGTTAACCCTTAATGTTGCTCTTTGTTCGACCCTCTCTGTTCGATGTGACAGTTAGCGTTTCTGACTTTTAGCTGCTGAGAGCTCCTCAGTGGCTGGGTGTTTGACATGACTACTTGTGGTTCGAAAACGACTCTTCTAACCTTTGCTAGGTGGCAGGTGGGGCTAATTCATGGGCTGGACTTTGATAACACAGAGCACAGAAGCTGGGATAACAAAAGCAATGTGATGGAGCAGTGTGTGACAGCAGACAGACACCACGTCCTGTCCCATTTTCTCTAGATTTATCAGACAATGTGTAAATGCACCTTTAATAAAATGCAACGCTAAACTGTTGGTGTTCCCCTTTAAAGACCATATCAAGATTTAAGGTTGCAAGAAGAAACACTATATTCAATACAGATATCAAGGTGCATTTTATTAGATGAAGATCCAATGATATATAGTCAACATCAGCATCCTTCTTTACAAAAGACATTAAAATTGAAACATTTTCAGTAAAAAAGTAGTATCATACAGCCAATGTGGAGTACCAGAGAGAAAGCATGACATGACCTAAATCATATTCATTCATCATCATATGGACCATAGATAAAACACAGTAACATTAACACTATTTACATCTGTAACACAGAGGCTGACATGAATGGTAATCCTCGTGGTGAATACAGTAAATAGAATATATTTATATATTAAGATCTTTTGTTTACAAAATCATAATGCATTATATATCACAGAAAAAAGGTTATCCATAAACTTGGCGCTCAGCTATACACACACACCCTTGTTTTGCAACACTTTGCCCAAGCCAAATGAAATTTATTGTTTGGTCAATTTATTGTTGATGGGTGGGTTCTTTGGTTGTGCTAGGTTTAATGTCACAGGCTCCAATTGAGCAGTCTGCTGAGCATCACTGAAGAGAGCTGTAACTATCAGGGATTGCTATATACAGGGCAACTTCTAGAGCAATGGTTGCAAGAACAGGAAACTATGTGTGAAAAAACAGAGCAATTAATTTTACTTTTCTAAACCAGGATCACATCTGATCTGCAATGCTTTGTGCCACTGCAGTAGGATCTCGCAGCTCATATAGAATGAGATGAAACTGATTAGGTGTTGTATTACAGCACAAAGTTTCATTGCAACTCTAATACACACAAAATGTTCTTTTCATAGAAACGTGACAAGGACCAAGTACAAAAAGTGACCAGAAAACTTTAGTTTTGGATCGTACATGCATTAACTCTGCATTTCCACAGGATGGATGTAGCTATGATGGATTATCTCATTTGAAAATAGTACATTTCCATTAGAGCACATGCACCAGCACATGAAGTAGGATCCTGGCCTTAGCAAAGAAAAGTTAGCATCAAGGTCAAGGTTAAAGTTACCTCAAATACTCCCCAGGTGTCATACCTCAAAAGCCTGTGATGCATAAGGAGTGTTTAGTAAGCTAACTGAGCTGGGTAAAATAAGAAAAATGATCTAAAACTGGGGCGAAAGAAGATAAACTGGTTCATTAAGGAGCACGAGAATAAGTAGGTCTATCTAGTACTTAGCTTCATAATATTGCCCAGTAGGTTTTTGTTGTTTTTTTTAAGTGAAGATCAGCTTAACAACAGCAGTTGTCCCAAACTGAAAGAGAGCCCAAGAGTGATCAATATTACCTCGAATACATACAGTATGCATCTACAGTACACACTTCTGTGGACATGCATATAACTGTACTTTGTAACTTTGGTAAAAGTAATAACTACCTTACCTTTTATTTGCATTTACCCTTGGCTCATGAAACCAATCATGCATTGGCCTTTTGTTTCTTCAAATCAAACAATGTGAAGGCCTGTTATTTGCATGATAGCAGAGACAGATGCTCACAGTGCTCACAGACCTTTGGGAATCCCAGCCATCACTGCTCACTTGAGACACACTTATGTTGTGTAATTCTGTCTGGGAAGGTAACAAAGATGGATGTATCGATGCGTCCACGGATATATGTCATACACAGGGAGAATCAGCAGATCACTTTACATGACTCTGTACTGAAGGATGAATAAAACCCTGGGGAGCTGCTTTTGCTGCTGCGCAAATTCCTGCGAGATTTTAGGACAAGCCAGTGGCCGTCTGTCTGTATCTGTTTCACTGTCAGCCCACCCTGCCCATCCTGAGCTGCATCACTGGCAAGATGTGGAGTGGATCCCAGCCAGAAGTCATCAAAGCCACTGGATAACTGGATCAGGAGCTTCACCTCCCTGCCGTGTTCAGTAAGCAGCCCAGTGGGCAGCAATCCCTTCACCCCCACCAAACCCAGTGGCCATGTGCTCAGGCCTTAGTGCCAAGTCTCAGTGCCCAGCTAGCATGACCCTGATCAGCTAGATCTGCTGTAAACATCTTAGGTCATCTCATTAATGCTGAGGACAGTGCATGCCCATCAGCTCTTCAGCCAAGGCCAATGAACGTCACCAGGCTGGGCCAACTGGCCTCCTTCGTGCTAAATTTCCTCTGAATGACCTGTTAACAACATTATTATTAGACAAAGTACAATAGCTCACACAATTAAGATGTGTCCTAGCAGGTATAGAGAGAGCCTTGTCACCTTTTTAATAATGTTTCAGAAAAAAGTGAACACAATACATCTTGTCTTGTCTACTGTTGCTGGCCAGTCACCTAGTCCTGCTAGCTTGCCTAGTCTGTCTGTCAGTCAAACTGGGATGTCTGGATCCTTGATGTGTGTGTGTTTGTGTATACATCAAGAAGAGACATGGTAGGGATGGATGGGCAAAGAGTTACAGTGGTTAATGGTAAATCAGCCAAACCAAAGTCACACACTCACCCACCACATACAGCCCTACCCTTCCTCCCTCCCATCCATTTATCCATCCATCCAGTCACCCTGTCCCACCCCTCCCTTCACCACTGCAGTCCTGTCCTGGCTGCTCATCCCTCAGTCCCAACCGTTGTCCTTGATCATGTGGGCCAGTTCAATGATGAACTTGCCCTCTTTATATTTCTGACTGCTCTCAAAGGCATGTTCCTGGAGGGGGTGGGAAAGGACAGGAGAGAGAATGCATTTAATTCAAATGATTGAGATAGTCAGAGAATAACATGTTTATATTTTTTTTACAGAGACTACAAATGATATTGTAGGAAAAGACTAGCTGCATAAAAAACCTACTCAGGGCAATCTTTTCAGCTGTATATAAAAATCTGTCATCCAATCCTGGCCTGTCTCTGTCTCTACAAAAGCTCATTATACTGTATAACCGTTAGTCACTAAACTGCAGAGGAGCCTGCAGAACCAAAATCTGACCAATGCTTTCCAGTAAGCCACGTGTGATACCACTTATTTCCTTTCTGATGCGGTACCAAGTAAACTCCCAGCTGGTATTACTGATACCAATACTTTGTGCAAAGAACAAAGGGAAAAATGATGGGTCCAGACAACAGAGACTGATGGAGGAGAGGAGGTATAAGGTGTATTGATAACAACAAATGGTGCCACCCTGTTCACATGTGAACTGCTGACTGAACTGTTGGCTGTGGGACTAAGTCCATACTACATAAATACAGGGGACCCTTTACGTGCCATCTTGGTTTACATCCCTCCACCCAGCAAGTGCATATGACAACCGTTCTGTTTTTGCAGTCTGTAACATGCATTTCTACTGTTAGGTGTGTAATCCAAAATTCCTAGCATACATTAGCATTGTCATTGCAAGCATTTTAGCATGCTAACATTAGCTCAAAGCAGTACAGCCTTACAGACATGTCTTCATGGCTGTACACTCTTTTGACAAGATCAGTATGTCAGTAGCTACTTTTCCATCTTGACACATCTTTATGATGATTTTTACAAGTGTTGTTTTGGCTAATGGTTTTGAAGGGTAAAAGGCATTATATGTTTTTCATTAACAAATGCTTCTTGTGGTTATGCTCAACTGTTTTGGTTGCTTCATCCTAATCCCACCTCAGTTTGTTTCACTTTCACCTCCCATAGCACCAAATTTCTGATCTCAGTAACTGACAGTGATAGCAGCAAGCAGTAAACCTACGTTTATTTAGCGTTTGAAACTCATAGTTGACGTTGATGTTTTTATAGTGTAAAATGTTTTAAACCCCTTTAAGTTTACTAGCATTTGAAATGTGTTCAAAAGGCATACTTTCCATTTTGGATTACACACTAAACAGCAGAGTTGCTAATCAATACAACTTCTGCTTACTGTACAAGTCCATTAACAACCTTGTGTTCTTCCTCAAAAGCCACTTAATATATGCATGTCTTGAGAAACAGTGTCACAGAGTAGGCTGATACAAATTTCTTTCACTGAAGTGTCTGTACCTTGTTTTGTCTTTGGCTATTTTGGTTCAGTGCTGCAGAAGCATGTTATCATATTTCTCAGTGTAGAAGTGCAGTAGGTCAAGCCTCTCAATAGAACTCTGACGACAGCAGAAAACCTACACTGCTACAACTAATATTAATGGCAGCCCACCATGAAGTCCTATCGAGTGTCTGTGAGCATGCATGTGATCTCTATTTTCTCTGCCTTGTAGGGTCCTGACAGGAATAGAAACTAACCAGATGTTTACCAGGCGTCATAAGGAAAATTGTTATTTTTAGGAGGAGAGGTTATACAATCGTTTAAGGTTAGAAATGTAGTGGAGAACATTAAGGTTAAAGGTTAGGTAAAGAGTGCTGGTCAATGGAGCCTTCTCACAAGTCAAACAACAAGGCTACTGTGTGTTCGAGTTAACCCTTTAATGATACAGTCACGTGGCCTATAATGCAAACTCTCACCTCCATGCTGTCAGGGTTCACTAGTGACAGTTGCACAAGCTCAGCTCTGTTGTTAAATGAAAACAGCTAATGTGTGGATCTGTTTTTGTTCACCCTGACATGGGATCAAAATACTGTCTGTACTACATACATACTGCTTCACAGCTTTACAGAGACTTTGAATGTATACATAGCTCCAATATTATGCTAAGGTACACACTGAGTGTTAATTAACTCTGACAGCCTATGAATTGACAATTATCAGCATTCAGCAATGACAGTTGTGATCAAAATATGCTACATAAAAGAGACATACAGTAACTATAGTATATATTAGGGCTGAACGATTTGGAAAAATAATCTAATTGTAATCTAATTTTAATATAATGTGATTTTTTTCCCTTTCTGTTTTATTCACTGAAAACAAAAATGTACAACAGGACAGGACAGTCATGTTGTCTTTTCTTCCTTAATTCATAAAATTTTACAGATCTGAGCTCATCACAGACTTTGAGTATTCTCATGAAAGCAGAGTGGAAAACAAAGCTGTACAACATCATCCTGCTAAATATATTCAGACTAGCTTCATTCTGACTTTCTCTTACGCTGTAGCCTAAAACCTGACTGGTGTTTGTGCTGGACTCACTGGGAGTTGTGGTCCTAAACCCTCTGTGGTCTACAGTTAATGCTGCTAAGCATTTACTATTTTTTATGTCTTTTCTCTGCTGTGCCTTTATGTTTCTTAAACAGTGTTATTCTTGTAAAGTGAGTCAGCAACAATCACTGCTGCTGCCTCAGTGTTTAATGATGCTAATGGTATGAATGGTAACTGGGTGGCAGAGGCTCTGGACCGTACAGACACTCTGCTGAGGGAGACAGAGGTGAGGGGAACAGCCAGTGGGCTTCTCCACATGCGTAAAGCTGACAGAGCCTGTATTTATCCCTCGGCTCTCACAGTATTTCTAAGCTGGTTTAGTTTTACTTAGTAAGCTATTACAATGTTTACACCACTGTGGACAATAGATGTAAGCATTTAAAATGACAAACTGCATCCCATATTGATCCAATACAGGCAGAGTGTGTGCACCATATTGATCCAGTGCGGGACAATGGCAGAGTGTGTTATTTATCAAAATAGACAGTTATTACTATAAGGGGCAGGTGGCAACTGCGTTGGGTTATTTTAATGCTGGAAGCAATTTGTGGTGTTGCCTTGCATCGGTGCTACCTTAGCCAGGCATGTTCAGCACTACCCTGCCAGGCAATCTGGTCTAAAACCAAAATAGGTCCAGAGGACTGACACTAGTGTTGTTTCTTGGTCATCAACATTTGGTTTTGCTGACTCCATTGCAGCTATCAGCACCAAAGTGAATCTTATCGGTGTGTGTTTCTTGTAAACTTAATTTACTTAATGTTTCTTTGAGAGTTTTGTTGTGACGGATGTAGCTGGATGTTGTGGTGGTCATGTTGCTGATTTTTTGTCCTGAAACCTGCGTTGCCCTTTGCTGCATTTTGGTAGGTGGCCAGGTTTGAACACACTAGAAACCACACAGTTATGTTTCAGAATAAAACATAACTTCTCAATATATATAAAATTCTAATATTTAATTTAAACAAAATGAAATAATTTTGAGTCATCTGTCTCAAGTCAAAGTTTCAAGTCATAAACACCAAGTCAAAGTTAAGTTGAATCTTTTACCAGTGTTAGTCAGATTAGTCAAGTCCTCAAAATTGCAACTTAAGTCTGACTCAAGCCCCCATCTCTGTTATACATAACTATAACACCACAACAATATCCACTATGAAATGTATTAGTGTAGATTTATCTGTAGATTTTATCTACTAAAATCTATAGCTGTAGATATTATTTCTTACATTTGAGAGCCCCATGATATAATAGCTTAAGCCCTGAGCCAGATGCTTTTCACTTCCACAAAATGTAAAAAAAAAAAAACTCTGCATGAATCACATAAGATAAATTAAGGCTCCTCCTTCTGGTCACCACCTGTTCTCAGAAGTCTATCTAATTATTACTTAAGTCCACAGCTGCAGCACTACACTGACCCTGACAGATAAGAAGGACCAAACATAATTAGCGTGAAAATAAAATCAGGGTATGCTATGATGGCAACCTCCCAGTTTACCATCCTCTAACCTTGGACGCAGTTTGTGTGCTGTGCATTAAATTGGCCAAGGACACTTACATATTTCCAGCCCAGGGTTGTTTTGCAGTTCTCACAGTAGATATCTGCTACAGCATGCAGGCCTGTGAGCAGGACTCTCTCCTCTGCAGGGCCACACCCGACATTCACCCTAAGGGAGGGGGAAATCAGTGTGTTGGGAGGGAAGAGAGGCAGAAGACACACGCAGAGACAGTGAGAAAAGTAAAACAATAAATAAATAAATAAATAAATAAATTGTGGTGTGAAAGTGGCACAAGTTGCTCAACTGCATGTACTGTATGATGTGCTCAGAGTGAGTCAGTGCCTCACACCCACTGACTTTTGACTTTTTCAGACATACTCACACTGAGTTGAACAGGTAGGCTCTGCCCTGGCTGCCCTGGAATGACTGCAGAGACAGGACGATACAAAGATGAAAAGGTTGCAACAATAATCTATCCTTTCCTACCATGTAACGACCATATTAAATTATACAAGCATGCTATTATGATGCCAAAATACCTCAGGCAAACAACAGCACTGGTTCGATTTGAGACAGGCCTTTACCTTAATAATTGCTTTACTTGAAACTGGTGTGTAGTCCCCCCAGTAACAGGCAAAATGCAAATGATAAAATCGCGGGTGAGTAGCATAAGTAGCTTTCCCGCTAGTGATGTTGCCTTTATTTACCACAACACAAAAACTGCTACTGAAGAGACACACTAACCAGCTTTATTTAATGTGGCTGTGTTGCAACTAGCAGAATCCCTTTGTGCACAGGTGAGCATGTTTTCATAATCACACATGGAAAAAGCAATAATCCTATTGACTAACAGCTTATACCAACAATAGCATGGTAGCAGCTGACATAGACATACAGCCTACTGTATATTTTTATTATTCTTCATTCATTCTTTCTCTTTTTTAAATCTTTGAGGCTTTTAATTGCTGTTAACCTGTATAAATTATTGTCTGTAAGATTAACTAATTGAAAGACACACCATGCAGTACATTGCTCATTTCTTAGGTAAAACATTAACTGCGATAAAACAAAAGATTAAGTGAAGTACATCAGTCAGTGTCTGGCCTTTCTCCAGTCCTTTCTTTTCAGTCTGTAATAATTAGCATTATGAATGCAAACAAACAACTGCTGCTGGTAAGATGAGTCAAGGCAATGGAGCAGAGTGCCACTGTTACCTTGGAGATGAGCTCATCATGGTTGGCGAGGTGAGCTCGGCAGTGGATACAGCTGTACGTTCGGTGGCAGCTCGGCAGGTACGCCTGGAAGGTCTTGGAGCGTGTCATTCTGACCATGGGCGGGGTTGGCGTGCGGTGCAAGAAGGGACTGCCAGCCCAGGTCGGCTCACAGGGGAAGCACCGCAGCACACAGGTGAGGGCCGTGGTGGGCGGTGGGTCGGGAGGCGAACACCTGAGCGCAGGGAAGATAATCCAGCAGCTAATGGTTACACAGTTGATTAACAGCTGCTTCCTTAACCTGATGTTGTAAAGTGTGCCACAGGTGTATAACTGCTGACAGGATGGCAGGCTGCTTTGTAGGTTTACAGCATTTTCCAACCTGCTTATGTCTGTGAAACTGTTAGAACCTGAAAAAACTGGGGATGAGGTATCATGCATGATTAATGAGCCTGAGTCATGGGGCGAATCACTGACACCGAAAATAGTCTGCTACAAGATATTCATTCAGACATTTCACAGGTACCATTCTCCGCCACACAGGAAACCACCACCACCAAGGCTAAACTGTACACTGAAAAAAGGGAAAAACCGGGTCTTGGATCTACACAAATTATGTTAGTATATGCAGCGCAATTCATTCATATTTCCTCTGTTAACATAAAGAAAATTATGTTGGTTTTACACATTATCATTGTGTGGGACCAATGTACACATTACAATCAAGTAAATCCAACAAATCTTTTTTTTCAGTGTAATAACTTTGGTGATCATGGTTTTTAATCTAGAATCATCCTAATGTCAAAATGTAGCCAATGCAGGTATTTCCAGGTGTTTAGTTTATGCTAAATACATGCAAAATGATGTTGTGTTTAGTGCTAATTAGCATGCTCTAACACAAAACTAAGATGGCGAACATGGTAAACCTGCTAAACATCACATTAGCATTTTGTTGTGAAAATGTTAGGGTTACCATTTATCTCAAAAACACCACTATGCCTAAATACAGACTCACAGAGCAACTAGCTGTAAAATGTTTGTGTTGTTTATGGTAAAATACCAAAATATTCTCAGATTCCAGCTCCTATAATGTGAACATTTGCTGAAACTCCCTAGGCTGTTGTTCAACATTTGAGGCTGTCACCTTGGAAAGTATAATGGAAAATTATAGTTGGAAAATACAATGGACATTAATTATTAATTTATGACATAGGTAACTATTCCTAATTATAACATTCTGCACTGACTCCAGTTGAATGCAGTACACACAGGCAGCAGCGCTACAGTAGATTGCATTCAGTGTTTAGGTCTTTAAGGCTGCAGAGATAGGCTGCTTAGCCTAGCACAACTGTGAGGCTCGTGCTATGTTCTCTCCATGATATACACATAGACCGAGCCCTTAAAATACTTCTGCTGGGGTGGCCTGGTGAGTCAGGAGATTAGCAAGTTGACCCAGGAACCTGACCCAAAGGCTTGAGGCCAGTAGGACAAGAGTATGTTTTGACTAACTGCACAGGAGAAGCTAAATGGTTAGAGGACTGTGCTCTCTAACTCTTGGTAGTTTTATTGCTAAATACAATTTTAATTCTGATAACAGCTTGGCAGCTCTGCTGCTACAAGCACATATCAGTCAGAATTTAATTTAATTTTATTCCCCAGTAGTACTTTTCATAAAGTTGCTGAGGAGCCTCGCTGACTGTCAGATTTATATTAATACAGAAAACCCGATTTTTCTAACTAAATTAAAGTAATATTTTTGTTCTTTACCGGACCGTGACTGTCTACAGCATAAACTGTTATTTTAATAACTTGGTTTTGAGTTGTTTCATCACCTTCAAAAAAATGTTGTCCCATCCTATTTCCTCTCCTTTTTGTCAGTCTTCACAGAACCATCTGGAAAAACTAATCAAATACTGAATAGAAGCAGGAGGCCTGTGAGTTTAGGACGAACAACAGAGAGAGAGAGAGAGGCGTCTTTACTGCGCTGCCATATGATTGTTTTTACTGTCGGACGGAGGCTGATGAAGACTTCAGTGCTGACAGGAAGGACTGGGGGGTATAAATAAATAAGGCAATGAGATGTGCCCTTGTCTTCTCTCTCCTCACTCAGTGCCAGTGGCGTAGGACTGGGGCACAAAGACACACTCAGTACAGCTGTCTGAGTTGACCCCTGACACACACACACACGCAGACCAAAGATGTTTAACTAATGCGTATTTTATTCTCACAGTCATTTCAGGACTGAGGACAAAGAAGTTCATGTATCCAGCCCTCTAAGATTTGTTCAAAGCATTACGTTCTGCCACACAGAACTGAAACTACTGTCGACATGGTCAATTGGGCGGTTTGCAGAGACTAACCCTGGGGACATGGAATGTCACCTCGCTGGTGGGGAAGGAGCCCGAGCTTGTGCAGGAGGTTGAGAGGTACCGGCTAGATATAGTCGGGCTCACCTCCACGCACAGCTTGGGCTCTGGAACTTTACTCCTTGAGAGAGGCTGGACTCTCTACTACTCTGGAGTTGCCCGCGGTGAGAGGTGGCGGGCTGGTTTGGGCTTGCTCATAGCTCCCCAGCTTAGCCGCCATGTGTTGGAGTTTACCCCGGTGAACGAGAGGGTTGCTTCCCTGCGCCTTCGGGTCAGGGATAGGTCTCTCACTGCCATTTTATGCCTATGGGCCGAATGGCAGTGCAGAATAGCCGGCCTTCTTTGAGT